AATATAACTACAGAAGACTGAGGTATAGTTTACAAAAGAAATCAGTTGCACATGCCTTTACTTAAGCTCCGATGAGGGAGCCGTGTTCTCACTAAAGATAACATGCCTTGGTAATCTGATAGTGACAGACGTACGGGAAAACCGTCATGAAAATCGCTTGGAATTGTAACTAAATTATAAAATTAAGTGTGCGCAAAGACATGAAATCTATAAAAAGGTATAGTTTACAAAAGAAATCAGTTGCACATGCCTTTACTTAAGCCCGCTGAGGGAGCCGTTTTCTCGCCGAATAAAGACAACATGGCTTGGTAATCTGATAGTGGCAGATGTATGTATTATGTTCCTCACGGCAATTGGCAAAATCGCTTGGAATTGTAACTAAATGATCAAATAAAGTGTGCGCAAAGACATGAAATCTCTATCAAGAAAAGCTGCGTATCTTAAGAAATTTAAACCACTAGTATATATGTTACTATTATATTATTTTATGTGGTTATGCGGATCTCGTACAGTATAATTCATATATAAAATTTAGTATACCTAGGTATGATTGCACTCTAGCTAAATCTGCTATATATTTTGTCATCGGTACAATGGAAGTATGTGTTTATATATATCAAAAATACATCATACACAAACATAAAATGAAAACGTTTAATAGAACATATTCTGATATTCATCAAACAAATTCTTGTGTGAACTATAGCTAGATTTGATATTTGTGGTGTTTATTGATATTTGTGGTGTTTATATAGCTAGATTTGTTGTCGCCAACCAAAACAGTCGGCATGTTTCTCTGTCTGTATAGTTACACTGTATTAGTAGCGTCAGACAATTTCCCTAAAATTACCTGTTTAATTTAATATACTAATGAAGAAACACAAATTTAGGCGAAAAGACGGACAGTGTGTACATTGGTTTGCGTTTCGCAATATGAAAGATAAACTGTAAAGGAGCAAATTAAATATCGCGGCCACGCTAGAGCTATTGGAAGGCAGTTAATAGTTCCGATTGTTATTTGACAGCTAAAAATAATTGTATCACGATTGTTCCATTTAAGTATTGAAGTTTATAAATCTGTTAAAATATACCCAACAAATTTGTTCTAACAGCAAGAAATTTTAAGTCAAACAGGCATGGCCCTTCTGATTATTATAAAGTAAAACGACGCCATTTCCCATTCACACTAACACCGCTGGAAAAAACGAAGCCCGCACTTCCAGGAGCAAAATGCATAGCAACCGACTACCGTGATATACAAATTTGTCTTACAAACTCATAATATTACCGTAATTAATGCCTTCGAATAACCAGTTTCATATGATTCTAATAATATTTAGAATAATATCAAACTGGTTTTTTGTATGTATGCCTTCGTATTTTCGAGTGGGAATGGCTCGCGCATGGCTTTTCTCCTTTACTGTTGTTCCAATTGAAGTGTTCCTCAAATATTGAATCAATACATTACCTCAAGCTGACCAATTCATTTCATCAAGTTCCTCGAGATATTCATACACTTCCTGTGAAAGAGCCAATTCCAAGAATTTGATCATTTCTGGTCACTTCCTTTCTATTTATGATTGGTTGGTTGCACAAACAACAAAGGTGATTGGTGCATTCAAACTATTCAACAGGAAGTTTACAATTATACTAAGAAGTGTATGAATATTTCGAGGAACTTGATGAAATGAATTGGTCAGCCCGAGGTAATGTATTGAATCAATATTTGAGGAACACTTCAATTGGAACGACAGTAAACGTTTCTGCCTCCAATACTAGTACGCAGTTAGTTGTTGTTCAATAGTCATTAAAAAATTTTGATTAGTTATAAAGTATATAAATTTCATAGGTTGTTTGAATACGTTTCATTTCAATTTTCGCTTTAATATATCCTGTGCCATGTCATCAAGTAACAACCCTGCATGGTGTATGTATACAGGAGGTATAAGGATCATCTATCTTCTGATTTTGTCAACTAGATTTCAAGTCAACTGGATTTCAAGGTCGATTCATGAATTCTTCAACAGATTTTTAACATTAATGTGCATGAAATAACCCAAGCATTGACTAAATGCAAACAACTATAATATGGTAAGCTCTGTGATACAGAATACTTTTTAATTACTAATCTTGTCTGTAAACTTTTATTTTATCTCACCAGCAATTAAATCGAAATTTGAAGACGTTGAAGGAAACTGTCCAGCGCCTGTTGATCCAGTTGTCAGAGTTTCTCTAATAACCCAAGATGATGCCATTGTATCTGATGTAGTCGTTTCAGTATTGTCCTCAGATGATGCCCTGGTATCTAATGTAGTAGTGTCAGTAATGTCTTCACATGATGCGATGGTATCTAATGCAGTCGTTTCAGTCAACACTGATGCTACAGATGATGCTTCAGTATCTGACGCTTTCTCAGTAAACAGTCTTTATTATCCCTGACGGTTTTTGCCATCTCGACCTGCAATCGAGCGTTCTTGGGGGGAAACTGGATGGTAAGGCTAATTCTAAACGTAACCCAACCCTAACCCAACCCTAAAAAGTTTAAACTGGAAAGAAAAAATAAACATATTCTAAAATTTCGTGAAAAGAACACCAGGACAAAGAACACAAAAGATTGCATACCAGACGCATGCTTTAATCACTGAGCTAATGTAAATCTCAATATGCAATTTGGTCAGGGATGGCAGAGACCGCTTATGAAAGGGAAATTAGCGGCGGGGTGCTATGTATACAAAACGAAATGATGGGCTTGAGTTTGTAGCAGGGTGTTAGCCAGGCGTATACTGGATAGAAGGGAAAGGTCAGTACAAACAGTTCGTACAAAATCGCGTGCGGAAGATCTGTGAGAAAGGTTACATCAAGTGGAGACACATACCAACAGATCAAAATCCAGCCGATATCGGAAGTCGGGCAGGTTTGTGATCCAACGATAAGCAGTTATGGCAACGCGGACCGGACTGGCTTGGAGCGAAAGAGAACTGGCCTCCCACTCCCGTAATTATTGAAACCGATGAATTGAAAGCTGAAACCAAGTTCACTCGTGAACTATTCACATTAGCTGTGACAGGAAATGATATGTTTGACGAACTTCTCAGGAAATTTGAGCTGCGAATTGGAGCATGGGTGGCGAGGTTCGTGTCTAATGCTAAAGTTCATGATGGAGAGAAGACAGTGGGTCCTATTACGTCTGAGGAAATTCAAAAGCAACTAGCATTTTGGGTAAAAAGAGTTCAAGAAAGGAATGAAGCAACCAACACGTTTCATGATGATCGGTTACGGTTAAACCTTCGAAGAAACAATGACAGTGTATACGAATGTCGGGGCAGACTTCAAGGGCATTACTCAACCTACCTACCCGATCAAGATGTGTTCACTGAGAAGCTTGTAATGGATGCCCATATCTGCACTTTGCACGGGGGAGTCGGTCTTACGATGACTAAACTGTGTGAGGTTTACTGGATACCACGGTTACGACGGTTGGTAAGAAAGGTGAACAAGAAATGTGATGGCTGTAAACGGTTTCGGGCAGTTGCAGTTGTCAATCCTCCACCCGGAAATCTTCCGACAGATCGAACAGTTGGATCCTCTGCATTCCAGGTGATCGGTGTTGATAACGCAGAGCCTATTCCCCACCGTACGGTGAAGAATCGAGAACGGAAGTCATACATCCTGTATACCTGCAGTCTGCCGAGAGCTATCCACTTGGAGTTACTTCCAGACCTAACTACAACAGAATTTATCCATAGTTTGAAGAAGTTTATTGCTTGCAGGGGTCGACCTAGAAATAGCTACTCAGACAACGGCAGGACCTTCATGGCTGCAGTGACCTGGTTGAGAAAGGTGATAAAAGAAGAGCGTTTCCACAACTGGTTAGCAGAACAAAGAATGGATTGGCAGTTTAATCTATCTTGTGCACCATGGTGGGGCGGTCAGTTTGAGCGGATGGCAGCATTAGTCAAACAAGTGTTATACAAGTCCATTGGAAAAGCCTGTCTACAATGGAAAGAACTTCAAGAAGTATTGTTAGACATTGAGCTGGTGTTGAACAACAGACCATTGAGTTATGTAGAGGATGACATCCAAATGCCAATCCTAACCCCTAACAACCTGATGTTTGGTCAACCTGGCACAATCCCTGAGGAAGACGTAGATTGCATTGACGAGGCAAGCCTTAGAAAGAGAGCAAGATATGTTGAAAAATGCAAAAACGCCTTGTGGTCGAGATGGTCATCGGAGTACCTTCGGGGGTTGCGAGACTGCCACAATTTGAAACATCCAAGGAAAGAGCATACAAGGAGACGTGGTGATTATCAAAGGAGAGGAAAGAAATCGAAACAAGTGGAAACTCGGTGTTGTAGTTCAGATGCTCAAGGGAAGAGACGGCGTGATCAAAGCGGTCAAACTGAGAGCAGGAAAATCATTTGTGGAGCATCCAATCAGTTTTTATAATTGGAATTGTGGTGTGACATGCAACCACCCAAGACCAGATTGAATGTGGAGGCAAAAGAGTTTGCATCCCAGAGAAAGGCAGCAATATCTGCTCAGGAGAAGATTCGAAAAATAGCTGAAGAAGAAGAACAAAGTGACTGAACACTTTAAATATAGTTGTTGTTATTCAACGTTTATAATACACATAATTAGTAGCCTATGAAAAGAATCCTATCGTAACAAAATAGGGGGAGAGTGTCAAAAGTAGCTAGAGCTAGGGTAACCTGTACCGGAAGTGAATAGCACTGTTTAGTTCTAAGAAGGGCTCTGCATCATGTTTTCTTTTTGTGAGCGACCTTTTGAGATTTGAGAACATTAAAACACTATTTTTGGTTTGTGATTTGTAACTTGTGATTTTTTGTGATCATGGGGGGACACCGAACAACATTCCACACAGGACGGACCATTAAAAAATTATGGCGGGCGGACAAAAATAAAACTCTAGCAGGGGAAACAAAGAAAAAACGTTTAAAAACAAATTTTTGCAGTAGGACTTTTCAATAGGGAAAATTATAAGTTGAAATAACAAAAAATTTGTGCAAGTGGTTATACTTAAACAATTATTGACACAAGGAATAAATTTTGAAAAAATATTCGTACAAGTTAAAAAGGTCCCACCCCATCACTTTTCTAGTGGTCTGTCCCTTAGTATATACATAGTGTTAAAAAATGTTGACAATAGCTGTAATTATATTGTAACTATTTAAATTGTTACATGACAAGTTGCAAATTTTATAGGAAGTCATTTATATGAATCTTGTTGAATTTCAAATCTGTAAACCTGATTTTTGACCATTTCGATGTATGATACAACTGAGCAATTATAATGAAATAAATACATCAAACTGGGCACTTATTCACTCTCACTCCTAACTATAGGTAAGAATTAGTATAGCTATATAGCTATATTGAAATTTAAATTCAAAAGTGAAATTCAAAGGTTATTAATGCTTTCTTTTTGCCAAGTAAATTAAATTGAAATGCAAAGTAATTTAATGAATAAGCCATGCAAATGCAACAAAAATGCACAAGAGTTCTAAGTCTGTATTGTAAAAATTTGTCGATGTTTGAATTTCGCCTTGTGTTTCCTCGTAAGTTCGCCCGAAATATACATGGTATATATGTTTGTAGTGGTAATTTATTCCACTGCAGACGAAAAAGTTTCCTTAAGTTTTTAATATGCATGATGTTTGGTATGTTACCCTGACTGTACATCCCATAGTATATCCACACCGGGCAAGCTTGAAAATATGACCATGACGGGAATCGAACCTACGACCTTTGGAACACCAGCCCGGGGTGGATATACACTCAGAGTAACATCATCAACACCAACACAGAGAAAAAAGGTCAAAGGTTTTTAATAGTTGATGGGTTGTACAACGAAAATTGACATTTTTTCCTTTACAAGAAGCTGGGTTCAAAACCTAGTCATTGCTCTTGTGTACGGCTTTCAATTAAGGAAAAATTTGACAAGTAAATGGGCATGCAATGGGCATGTTATAATATAAATTTAGTAGTTGTCGAACATTAAATCAATGTGTAACCTGTGAATCTCTGTCAATGAAAAACTTGCCAATTTTGGTCATATATATATATACAAGAAAATAAAACTCATCAAGGAAAACGTTTTTGTTGTATATATAAATGTAAAACTGGAAACATTATGTACATAGCTGTAGAGCAGGAGAAAAATTTCTGACGGAAACGGAAAGTATAACCTGTGCTCTGATGGTCGTGGCACATTTTCACTCTCGCCATTGGCATTGGTTTCTTCCTCGGAGTCGCTGAAATTACCAAACACACTAAAAGTATCATTGATGCTTTCGCTGTCAGAATTATTCTCCAAGCTAACATCATCGCACACTGATTCTTGCACAAATAAAAAATCGTCCTGGCTATTGCATAGGTCTGCGGAGTATTCAAAGAAGTCAGAAACCAGCTGGATATTTTGGGTCGTTGTTGCGAGCTGTTTCAAACAATGTCCTCTTGATGTTAAATGAACAGAAAATCTATCCCACGACTCAAAATTGACTGCACATGAAATTGATGTCGCAACAATGTCTGCATGCTCTCTTTTTTTTCATTTTCTCATTCAAATTAGATCAAATTAAACACAGAACTTTTCAATTTAGCTTTTAAATTACCTTTTGTTGTTGTATTTAAATTCCCCGCAACATTTTTGTTTGGCAAACAAATTTTCCCGCTTCACATTCAATGATTGTGATTGGTTAATTTATTGAGATACTTCGCCCTGATCAGTTGAAAGGCAAAACAAAGTCCGAGCACTAAACAATAACAACAATTTTTTAAAGCCCTTTGCCTTTGCTCATTTTTAAAATTTAATTTAAAGAATTTAAAACTATAGCAACATACAACGAGTTAAGAACATTTGTAGCTTCACGCAGGTAAATTGACGCACTTGAAAAGGAGTATTTTAACATATTTTTGCTTTTTAATTCCCTAAACTCTCTAATCGAAACACTTTGTTGAACAACGTTGACGTTGCACTAAATAGCGATACACAACGAATAGGGCCGTATGGCTGTGGAAATTTTCCTGCTAACATATTTGAAGGTACATAATATCAAAATATTCATATTTAACATTTTTTAAAAAATGTTTGTGCATATAGTAAATATTAAAACTTCAACATTTTTATTTGTCAGATGACTCCGAAACGCAATACCCTACATCATCCAGAGAGCAGCCGGAATCAGATATTGTCATATTGCAGGAATTACGAGAGCTTAAAGAATTAGTGAAAGATGTTCAAAAGCACAGGGAAACATGGAAAAAACACTGAAGAACTTGGCCTCTAAACTTGAAACCCATGAATTTGATCTGGCCAAGTTGTGTCAAGCATTTCTTTCTCAAAAAAAAAGAAGCAATGATACATTTTTCTTTTGTGTTAGACCTGTAGAGTGATGTAGTTTAAAATTAATCTACTACAACAGGCAAATGTAACGAAAATATTGGCAAAGGCATACATACAGCTGGGACGGTTTTCCAAGTCCAATGAGAGCAAAATTGTAAGCATATATTATATATATACATATACATAAATATGCTATCAAAATACTACATGTCAAAAAATGCAGTAACTATTGTTTTATACAATATTATGGTTTGATTTTGAATTAAGGAACAACTGAAGATTGAGTTCCGGATCTCGTCATATGGGTTAAAAATGGAGGAACTGATGAACTATTGGAGGGCCGGGGAGAGAAGGGTAAAAATTTGATCAATCCAAAATTTTAAATAAATCCTACTTAGAAAGTGCTTAAGATGGCTCCCTAGGGTTTTCTTTCCGGGGGTTAGGTTCTTCGTATATATGTAATCAAAATCTAGTAAAAATTGCCAAAATGAAACCCAAATTTCTCCCTTTTGCTTCAGTGAAATTTTTAAAACTTTGCACATTTTTTTATATCGGCACAACAAGTGCAATATCCTTTTCTCTTAAAATTTAATTGAAGGGAAAATTTTTAATATTGATTTTTGACGTTTTTTAAATTTTCTAAGAAACGTATCAATTTATTTTTTTTAAATTGAGGAAAAAAAATCATACAACTATTATCTTTATGCAAAGTTTTAAAACATTTCACTGAAGGGAATTTTTAAAATGACCTGGAAAAAACAAATTTTGACCTTTATTCTAAGCATGCTGTTGCCATGACAACAGATTTTTAACACAAAAGTAGCAATTTGCAATGTTCAGGAGAACATTGTCAATGTGTCCAATAAATTTCGTCTTCATGTCTTTTTTAAAAAGTGAAGAAACAGGAGTCTCCTGAATACTATACTGTAGTAAATTAAAAAACCCTAGGGAGCCACCTTAGATAATTTAACAATCAATCTAATAAATTAAATGTCATTCACTTATAGTGTTAAAATACAAAATCTTTCATATATTTGCTCATTTATACAGTAATATTTACTTTCTTTTGCTCCTCAGATTCTTGAAATAGGAAACTGGTCATCATTGGAGAAGGCTTCAACCAAGGAGCGCGCTTGCATCCAAGATATGCAGACTTCTTGGTGTGAAATTTAACGCCAGTGCCAACGCACAGTGCTTCATCAAACTGCTCTTCTGGTAAGATTATCACAAGTATTTTGCACTTCTACCACAAGCCAAGTTATTTTCCCAATTCTACATAAAAAAATAGATGATATTATATATAATTTGCTAGGTTTCATATTGCAGGGGTATTTACAAGTAAAGACAAAGTGATTTCCTACACAACATAATTAACCCAGCACAAAACTCTTCCCATGACAGAATGAAAGAATATAATAGGGTGCATTTAGGCACATTGCTGCTTAATGGGTTAATTAAAATGCAGACGGGTACTCCCGTTCTGTATTTTGTCAACATACTCAGCAGTTCCTGTATACAGAATTTAAATATCTGGCCTCAGAAAACTACAAATAACAAAAGAAAAGTTGGGCTAACTTACCATTCTCCTTCCTTTCTCCAGAAAACCTATATCTGAAAACGGGCAGGACGAGTGCACCAAGGATGACAAGTTTTGGATTAATTTCCAGACATGGAAGGAAACCAAGTATGGTGCACAAGGACCATCCCCATCCGAATGGGATGAAATCCTAAATGAGCAATAAAATGTATATACCATGTTGATTTACCACACCACCATGCAGCTTTTGCTATTGGCCATTTCCCAAAGTCCTAGGTCTAGTCACGCAAATCCCATGTTGGAAGGACAAGAAATATGGAAGCACACATTTCAATTAAAAGTTTAATGTAAAAAGGAGATATTTCATTTTTGGTCCTCTAAAAAGTTGATATTTGATAGTAGATACTTCTACTCTTTCACATATTTGATGCTTGTCACCATATATTTTGTCCATCCAAACTATCTCAGAATGCACTGTGATCTTTTTTTGGAAAAAGGTCAATTCCACACGGGATTTTGCATTTAGCAAATTGTACATTTTAAGATTCTCATGCGAATCGCCTTCTCTCACTTCACAGGATGGTGAGGTAAAATTTGAATTTGAAAGATCTAGTTTTTTAGACTATATGTGAACAACTAAATAACTGTTGATACATTTTATCACTTTTGTTTTAAGCTTTGCCATACAATGCATTAATTATGCAAAGGAACACATCTGTCAAACGTTAAGGCCCATGCGCGAGTGTGCGGAAATCGCGGGGATTTCGTCTGCCAAATTAGGAGTAAATGAAGGAGTAAATATAAAAGAAAAGTGTTAACTTACTATAAACGGCTGAAGCTACAAGGTAGGGCATTTCACCACTTTTCCCTTGTGTCAAGACAAAGTTATACTGAGTTTAATCAGACATACTATTACCAGTCTTTTGAATACAAGAAGTAAATATGCAAGAATGTTTGATTGCAGTGTTGCATAAAGGTGCAAAAATACAACGGTTCCTTTTAATTGGCTCGTATTTGGTTGTTACTGCTTGCAACAATACAAGAAAGGTGTCACTCAACAGTTAAAACCCCCAATTCTTGCTAATATGATATACACTCAATATAAACACGCAGAGCACACTGAAGTTGGATTACCATTACTATGATATACAAAAAAGTACAATAATTCACTTAGAATGTATTCTTGATAACGGCCAAGCATAAAATCTACCATCTTCTAATGTAACATCGTCGAAAGAACCGGGCCAAGGTGGAGTGACTTGCATTTCCGAAACCACAGATGTTACCAAAACAGACAGATATCCAGGAGGCAATTGTCGATTGTGCACCATGTTAAAACCTGTGACACAGGCTTCTGCACAAAGTATGCCATCATCATTAGTTAACTCTACAACAGTACCTAAAAATACAAATTTGTCTTACAAACATATAATATATAAATTTGTCTTATAAACTCATAATATTACCGTAATTAATGCCTTCAAAGAAACAATTTCATATGATTCTAATGATATTTAGAATAATATGAAACTGGTTTTTTGTATGTATGCCTTCGCATTTTAGATTTTCGAGCGGGAATGGCTTGCGTGTGGCTTTTCTCCTTTAAACGTTTCTGCTTCCAATACTAGTACGCAGTTAGTTCTTTTTCAATAGTCATTAAAAATTTTTAATTATTCATAAAGTATATAAATTTCATAGGTTGTTTGAATATGTTTCATTTCAATTTTCGCTTTAGTATATCCTGTGCCATGTCATTAAGTAATGCCCCAACATGGTGGACGTATACAGGAGGTATAAGGATTGTCTAATTTTGTCAACTAGATTTCAAGTCAACTGGATTTCAAGGTCGATTCATGAATTCTTCAACACATTTTAACATTAATGTGCATGAAATAACCCAATCATTGACTAAATGCAAACACCTACAATCCTGGACAAAAATAGTGGCAAAAACTAGTTTATTACCTCAAAATATAATTGGAAGACATGTTTGTCCCAATGATACCCCCTTCCCCCAATATCAATGTTTTGCAAAGTTATCTGGCTTCGAATATACCCATCAACATTGATATTAGGGGAAGGGGGGTGAAATTCGATTCATTTTCTTAGTTTTTAGCCTTTTGCCAATAATTTATGTCCAGGATTGTATGAATTTGAATGGGAAAAATTACGAAGTTTTCCCATACATTACTCTCGGTTTTAGCTCGCTTTTAATTCTTTTACCACTTTAGTTTGTAGTTTGGCAAAATATATTATGACCTTGTTAATTTCATTACAAAGTTCAAACTTGCTATTGAAAATTGCGCATGTGATTGGCTATTTGAATTAGGGTTTGCCTAATGTACTTCCGCTAGTCTTTGGCGGGAATTTTCAAAGTACTTCTCATAGGTTTGAACATTGTTAACATTAATATTATATACATTACGATATAATGGAGAGCAGTGAAACTAGCGCGAATTTTAGCGAAGAATCGAATGACATAAACTTTAATTCATGACTTAGTGAACGTGGGAACCGACGGATATACTTCATAACTTGCGCAAGGGCAAATTTGGATAGGTTCCCGAATTGTCTGGCATTTTCCAACATTGTACTAGACTAGAGGCGTTCAATAACGGGAAAAGTAGCAAGAAGGTTGTCCAGTGGGCCTGCTGCATAGAAGATCATGCCAATGGGGCAAAAAATTTCCACACGGCTGTTAAACCGGATCGAACGAGACGATGGAATTCTGTCAAGAATTTTATTGGTGTCACCAACGTGTTACCAACGTGTCACCAACGTGTCACCAAATTTATTATATTGAAATTACTCTACACAAACGTGTCACCACGTGTCACCAGTACTAGTATAAGTAAAGTATATATACTTTATATAAAATTTTGGTGACACGTTGGTGACACGTTGATTTACTATATATGAAGCACAATTATCTTGGTGACATGTATGGTGACACGTTGGTGACACGTCAAATTGAAATTGTAGGCAAAGAACTATTGTTGGGAATTATTAGTTTTAATTCTAAATTAAATCTCTATAAGCGGAGGTCAATTATAGGGTTGTAGTTTACATATTATCATTAATGATCATGTTAATTCAAAGGAGCTATTTAAATTGAATAAACATGTGAATAGAACTTAGGGTGTGTTCTGCACATGCGTATGTCTAGCATAAAATCCCACGAGCGCAAACGAGACTATTGCTGTATAAAATTGAACTGATAGGATTCAGATCAGTGTGACGATTTTTGGCAGTGCTTCGGGCGCCCGATGATATAGTATGAGGGGCTTTAGAACTGTTGCCTTCTCATCTTGAGATTGTGACGCTATTGCGTGTGCTTGTCAGGGTGACGAAGATGTATCATTGCTAATAATGTCTGTGTGCACATAAATGTCAAATACATGAAAGTTGTGTAAATATATAAAGAATCACTTTATATCAGAGTCATTTCATACTATTTTCAGTATAAGTAAAAACCCTATCAATCAGACATCCCATACACTAAAACTAAAACATTCAAATTTGGAAATTATCTCATACAATCCTGGACAAAAATAGTGGCAAAAACTAGTTTATTACCTCAAAATATAATTGGAAGACATGTTTGTCCCAATGATACCCCCTTCCCCCAATATCAATGTTTTGCAAAGTTATCTGGCTTCGAATATACCCATCAACATTGATATTAGGGGAAGGGGGGTGAAATTCGATTCATTTTCTTAGTTTTTAGCCTTTTGCCAATAATTTATGTCCAGGATTGTAGTATAGTAAGCTCTGTGACACAGAATACTTTTTAATTACTAATCTTGTCTGTAAACTTTTATTTTATCTCACCAGCAATTAAATCGAAATTTGAAGACGTAGAAGGACACTGTCCAGCGCCTGTTGATCCAGTTGTCAGGGTTTCTCTAATAACCCCGAGATGATTCCATTACATCTGATGTAGTCGTTTCAGTATTGTCCTCAGATGATGCCCTGGTATCTAATGTGGTAGTGTCAGTAATATCTTCACATGATGTGATGGTATCTAATGCAGTTGTTTCGGTCAACACTGATGCTTCAGATGATGCTTCAGTATCTGACCCTTTCTCAGTAAACTGTCTTTATCATCCCTGACGGTCTTTGCCATCTCGACCTGCAATCGAGCGTTCTCGGGGGGGAAGTGGATGGTAGGGCTAATCCCCAAGCCGACGGCACGAAGCGACATTAACAAAAGTAAGTTTGTTTTAAATATTGATTTTAAAATGAATTTAAAAACCGACGGCCTTTGTGTATATATGAAACAACTAAACAAGACGGCATATAATTTCAGTGTATCATTAATATTGATTCCCTTTTTTATTACAGTGAATTTTTTAAATAAAAAAGAAAGCAAAGTTATTTGCATGCGAGAATTTGAAATCATTTTATTGCAAGCTCAAAGTTTATCGATAAAGCCATTTAATTAAAGGCAGTTCAGTTTTATAAAGAACACTTCAAAACGTTTTGCAAAGCGTTTGTGGTTGAATTTTACCTTAAATTGAAGCTTATAT